TTATTCACTTTGTTTATTCCATTTAATATACTTCTCATCTCAGATAATGTGTTCTTCATTTCTGACTGGTTCTCTTTTATAATTTCTATTTTTATGTTTCTTATCTCTTTGTTGAAGTTCTCACTGAATTCATCTACACTTCTCATAAGTTCACTGTGCAGCTTTATAACCAGTGTTTTGAACTCTGCATGTTAGATTACTTGATTCCATTATATCTGGATCTCTGTTCTGTTCTGTCATATGGTTTCTGCTTCTTTGTCTTCCCATTTTGGCTGCCTTTCCATGTCTGTTTTTATGTTCTAAGCAAAGCTCCTAAGTCTCCCAGTCTTATTAGTGTGGATCTGTGAAGTAGGTTTTCAGTGGCACAGTCTTGAGAGGGGTTCAGCTGCAGGCCAAATTTAGCCCTAGCCTGTGCCCCTCAGGGTCCAGCTGTTAAGATTCAGCAAGCAATCCACAGATGCTGTGCTTAGAGTTGCCTCAAAAGGCCGCACCAGAAACCGAGGCAGCTGCCTCCAGTGTGAGTCTAGGCGTTGCTCAGCAAGGAGCACCTGGATGTGGCTTGGGTGAAGCCGCGAGATGGGAGAGGCAGAGTTTCAGAGAATCCTCTGGGTGAAGTGACCTCTGTTATCCAGTTTGATGCTATGGCAGCACTGAGTCTGCTCACTAGGAGCGGGGCGGGCTCAACAGAGGAACAATGGATACCACCAGCACTTCTGTACAGAGCGAGTCTCACCTGGGCCCTCATTCCGATGACTCAGTGTCCCCCTATAAGTCCCTGCATATAAGCCGAACCAGCCCTGGTGCTCAGAGAAATCAGGTCAGTCACTGCGAAAGTCCGCTCATGGACACAGCCCATCCTACCTTCTGGTGATTTCTTAGATTTCTCTCTAGCTGTATGACTTGTTCACCTAGATCCCAGGCGATTTTTCCTTGCCATTTGCTTCTTGTTTCTGTCACAACTTTGATTTGGTTGCCAGAGGGATGAACAGAGCCTCTATCATCTATGACATTTTTTTTCCGTCCCCTGTTTTAAATTTTTACAAATCTATTATCTGGCTTAATAGCAGACATCTGGATTCTCAAATCTGCTGCTGCTTTCAATCTGCTGTGATAGGTTTTCATTGACGTATATGAAGTATCCAGCCTCACACAGATATGTAGTTGTAAATATTCTTCTTTGACACTACATAAAAATTTGACAAAGGACTGTGTCTTAAAGATTAGTTACAGTATAGAGTCTGAACTCATATCAATGAATTGTACATTAAAGTCCATTAGTCTATTTTGCACTTAGAATGGTTCCTTCATTCATTGTATGATTTTGTAGCATTGTGCTTTGGTCATCTGAGAAACACTGGTTTATAATTTTCACAGTATGTATATTTTTAAATTTGATTATTAATGTCACCAACAATCTCATCCAGAAAAGTCTTTAAGTCTTTTGGGAAGCTGTAAGCTCATGATAGTGGATATATCAAGTTTTTAAAAATTCTAATTTTCACTTGAAGACTCAAATTTTATCATTGGTAACGAATACTGTCAGTTGTTTTCCTGGAAGTAACAGGTTCATGTCATTCACTTTTGAGAAAATGTCTGCCAAATGGCCGAGTTCAAGTAATTATAGTTTGTGTTCCATGAAAAAAGTGGCTAATTCAGTTCATAACTCAAACAATTGCATAGGTGGTTTTCCATAAAGCAATCTTCATACTCAGGTTTGTAGCAAAAGTGCTTCATGTCTACCTCCTATTTTCTCACACAGAATATTATAAAGATGTGTACTCAAGGGTTGGGATTTAATAAAACTAATAACTTTTATGTTTCATCTAAGACATTCTTACATAAAACCTTTTTTTTTTTAACTCCAAGTATATGGACATGAAGAGTATAATGATTTCTACTGCTTTGATTCTTATTAGGCAACAGTAGTTTTACTCATCACTGTTTTGGTGCATTAGTATAAATGTAGCAGCACTATGAAAACTTTTGACCTTGTGGAATATTAGGAGTCCACAGATCACAATGAGAACCACTGTATTTTGGAAATGTTTGCTATGTAACTGATGTAATAATTGTAACTAGAAAATAATTGTAACTAGAGTAATTTAGCTATAGCATGGGGTTAAACCATGTCACTTCCAAAGATATGACACTGATCTAACATAGCCAATTTTATTTATATATGGGTCTAACACTAACATAAAAGCATTTCCATTGTAGGTCCTTTCTAATTTTCAACACTTCATTATCTCTTTTGCCAGGTTTAAATGTCTTAACTCAAAGACATCCAGTAGTGGTCAGTAACTTGCACTCCCCTATTTTTCTAATTCTTGGCTCTGAGGCTATTAAGAGTGCTTTCAGCATAGTCAGCACAAAACACAACTATCTTTCATTCAGTTTTCTCCCGTGACTCTAGAAGAGATCAGTCAAAAAATGTTTTGGTTCTTTCACATTCTTTCCTTTCTACATCAATGCCACCCTCTGAAACCTATTTTATACCCTGCCCAATGCAACAGTCTACTAATTATGCTCTCAACCACTTATCTTTCCATGTTCTAATTTGATAACAAACAATAACCTTAATATGTTACATCCTGCTCAAAAATCTTCAACTGGTTCCACATGATCTATAATAGGATTTATGGGTTAATTAACACAAGTGATACAATAAATATCCAATCTGCCCAGTTAATTGGAAAAAGAAAAAAAATGCCACTACCACTATCTTACCTGTTTTCTACTCGCAAAAGCAGGGGAAGGACTGTAGAATCTAACAACTATCATAATATCTACCTGCTTGAAATACTTGTTGCAGGCCAGAAGGCTCTAGCCAGCTGACCATTTCTTCTGGAAGTGCTTCCACCTGTCGTTCAAAGGCACTGCCTTCACCACCGATCTGATCACTACTCTTAAGAATTTTATGTAAATAAAAATAGCTCTTCTTCAAAATAAGTTTGGGACCTCTGTTCTATAAGATAGAGCCTAAAGGCCATACAGTTTTCCAAAGTCCTCCACTAAAGCCCCAACCTATCATTATAATCCATCTGCCACTATTCTCTCCAAGAATAATTCTCCATTTCAAACACTGACCCCCAGAACTTTGATGACCCCACATGTGCTGTCCCATGACCAGGGATGTGTTTCTCCTCCTCTACCCATCGAGACGTAGCTTAAGTCCTAGCCTTTCATAACATGCCAACCTGCAGGGATCACAATTTCTCCTCTAAGATCATCTATCACTTACAGCCTGTATCACTCATTTGATACTAGATGATATGTTACATTAAATTGTTAGTTTTGGCCCCAATAACACTTTGAGGGAAAGGATAAGGAACTATATTAGCCTTTTGTTTATTTATTTTTTTACCCCAGAAGATCTCTGAAGGAGGCTGCTTTATATAAGCATGGTTAATTAAATCATTGGCCATTGGTAACTAAACTCAAACTCCAGCCCCTCTCTCCTTCCCAGAGATTTAGGGTGTGAGGCTGAAAGTTCCAACTCTCTAATCACTTATTGGTCCCCCAGCAACCAAGACCCACCCACAGGGGTTTTCTAAAAGTGACTTCATTAACAGAAACTGAGGTATGGTTGACAGGGGCTTGATATGAATAACAAAAGACACCTTTATCATTCTAATCACTTAGAAATTTTCAAGGGGTTTTAGTTGGTCTGTGCCAAGAATGGGATGAAGACCAGATCTATTATCCATATCATAAATCACTGTATCACAGGGCCTATGAAAAAAGATATAATTTTTTAAAATGGGAAAATAGTCTGTATTCTTACCTGGGGGAAAAACAGAATCATAAGCACAAAGGGCTTAGTGAGTAGCTAGCTGAGTGTGGCAGAGACAGGTGGCTATACATTAACTGTGCTTCTCCTTCCAAAGTGTAGTGGTCACTGGGAGGCAGCTGCCCAGCCAGGAACCACAGCTCCACAACAGACAGGAACAGAAATGATGTGTGTGACTTCCGGGCCAGCATTTTTAAGAGCAGGTATGCCTTCTCTATTCTCTTTCTCAGTCTGGAGGCAGAGGACTCAAAGCCCTAGGGGATGGCAGTCGTAAGAGGACAGAAGGTGCCTAGGCCCACGCATCAACCACGTGGACAAAGCTGCTTGCCGTTCGGCAGCACCCACACTGGGCTGTTACAGTCGTTCCCCCTTCTCTGCAGTTTCACTTTCTATGGTTTCAGTTACCCACAGTCAATGATGGTCCCAAAATATTAAATGGAAAATACCAGAGATAAACAATTCATAAGTTTTAAGTTGTGCACCAATCTGAGTAGTGTGACAAAATCTCTCCTGGTCCCACTCCATCCCACGTGACGTGAATCATCTCTACACTGTGTATGTTCCTTGCCCATTAGTCACTTAGTAGCCATCTAGGTTATCAGTTTGACTCTTGCAGAATCATGGTATCTATCACAGTGCTTGTGTTTAACTACCATTTTAACTTAATAATAGCCCCAAAGCGCTAGAGTAGGGATGTTGGTAATTCGGATGTGCCAAAGAGAAACTGTAAAGTGCTTCCTTTAAGTGAACAAGTATGTATACATAGGAAACACATAATATATAAAGGGTTCAGTACTACCCATTGTTTCAGGCATCCATGCGGGTCTTGAAATGTATCCCCCATGGATAACGGGGTACAATTGTACAGCGGTTATAAATACCTATTATATTTGCCACCGAAATGTTGGTGTTTTATTTGTTTTAATAGCTAACATTAGTCTACTAATACATGAAGGATCATCTAACTAGGTAGTGACAGAGCTGAGACCAGAATTCACACTTTGTGACTCTTATAGTATATCAAACTGTCTTCAGAGATATTTTTATATTTCTAAATTATCTCTGTTTCCACTGACCGTTTTCTGATAAATGCTAGCAATCCCCAACAAAGCCTTATCTGCACTTACCATTTACGATCATTTTCAAACAAGCAGAACATGGTTTTCTGGAAAAATAAAGATCACAGTTTTTCAGCCTTGACCCATGTTTTATAAGAGCAATTTTCCCAGCATGTAAATCTTCACTTGAACAGTGAAGGCCAACAATTTTCATGTTTTTCACCACCACAAGACCAGTTTTCTTCACCTACATTAAAATACAAAATAATAATTTATTAGTTATAGTAGCTAAAGATATCATGAATTATACTTGATTTATTAATAAAATAAAATTAGTGTTTATTGCTTTATCTGAACATAGTACACATTTTTTATTAGGTCCCCAAATTTTTCTGAATGTTTAATGTTGACTTTATACCAGAAATGGTCTAAATCTAGGGTTTCTTTTTTCCTTTTTTTTTGTTTTTAAATCTAGGGTTTCTTAACCAAACAATTAAGCATTTAATTATCATTAATCTGTCTTAGTGAAAAAGGAATCTATTTTGACCTAGTAAAGAGCAAGAACTAAGTTAAGTTGACTTGTTTCTTACAGCATCTAGTCTAGGACTATTTAAGTATTATAATGGCTTCTAGATGGTCATAAAGAAAAATTTGGAAAACTGTGATTTTACACATGAATAAGCAAAGCCCAGAAAGTTTACATAATTTCTGAAAAACCCACAGATGGTAAAAGGCAGAACTAAAACAGAGGTCATCTTAAATTTTAAAATACTTTAAATACTGATTAAAATAAAGATAATTCTTAACTTCTTTCTAAAGACTGGCTCTACCGATTTTTAGCACTACGGCAGCCTAGACTAATAATGTAATTAGGTGCCACCTCCCACGAATATGTAAATTATTTATAATAAAAAAATGTTTTTAAATGCATAATCAAGCTCAAAAGAATGTAAGACATACTTTCAGGTGTTAGGAAGAGAGAACTCAAAGCCAGAGCAGTAGGCTAGAGCTATCTCAGCGGTATCCCACCCACAGGTAGTAGATGGGGCTAACTATGCTTCAAGCGCTGGAGGCTGGGGTTCTTAAGAGTTATTACTTTAAACCTAAAGTATCCTAACTTATACAGATAACTAGTCAAAAAAGCTGGTGTTAACAATCACAGATAAACAGACTAAGGTAAAAATCAGTTGTACAGAATAGTCTTTGCTGTTTTCACAGAGTAAGTAAACCCAGTCCTTGGGTTTGGAACAGATTGTTACATTGTTACAATACGAGGGGAACTTGGGCTGAGAACCGGATCCATTATTTCTCCTCCTTTTCAAAGGCATTTTACTCTACAGTTATCCCCAAAAGGACACATTTGAAATCACTTTAAAGATTAGACCAAAGCTATATTCACTAAAATAGTCAAGTTTCAGTTTCGGTTATGAGTATTGATGTTTGACACCATGAAGAATATTTTGTGAAATGCCTAAAAAGAAAGAATAGATAAGATTTTATAGAATTCCATTTCTGAGTTATCCGACCACCTCCTAAACTATAACGACATTTAAAAGGAATACAAAAATCTTTCATTTACAATATTTGTACCAAAAAAAAATCTAGAATATGAAAAATCTACCTATATTGGCTTTTAAAATAAGCTTTAAAATTACCTTGAATTTGTGAACCCTTTCCCCTTGTAATTTTGGAAAAGAACTGATGAGGCTTTATCAAAAGACCTCAGCATGCTGAAGCTCATTTTATTAAACTGAACCAACTGTGACCAATGGAAATGGCTGCAATTGAATAATTTTAGTTTTAAATTTTGTAAGTAGTTAAATGGAGAGAAAGCCAGTAACCTTGACCACTAAAGACTTTTTAAAAAATTGTTCCTAATAAATGGGAAGCATACTCATCAATTTATTTTTTATTAGAACAGCTAATAAAATTTAGGTCAAGTTTATTTACCACTTTTTTGTCTAGAGTACTTTTTACCTCCGAAAAAAATTTTTTTTTCATTTTGTTTCCAGCTAAGGCCAAAATATCAAGTTTGAGACAAAGATTTTTTTTTTCATCTCAAACTTAAAACAAAACAAAATAAAAGCCTAAGCTGCACTCCATTTTGGTACTTCCACTGGCTACAGCTCCCAGAAGGCTGAACTTTTTGAGTGAATCACTGCTCTGGATCCTGATTTTGCTTCATTTCACTAACATCTTGGCAAGTCATCTATGTAATCCTAGTCACAGAGTCGTACACTAACACATACGCGAAAGAGGGCGGTCCGTTTTGTATATGAACTAGTAAATTTACCCAAATGGTGAGTCACTACTTTTTTACCTTTGCCTTTCTTGTAATTAAAAACATCTAAATATTTTGAGACAAATTATTTCTATATTCTTGTTGGGTATTTTAGATTGTGACTCTCAGAACTAACCAGGAAATCTTCAGGAATGTACATCAGAATCATTAAGGTAGTTTCTTTCAAAATATACATGTTTAGCCTCTACTCCACACTCGATGTATCACAATCTTTCTGGAAAACGCAAAGGTTAAAAGAACAGGGAATATTATGCAATATTAAAAAGAATAAGGTTCATCTTGTCAGGTCTGGGTTTGATTTTACCCTATTAGTTAGTAAGTTAGCCTATTACTGTTTCATGGATGCTAGCAGAAGACATGAAATTCCTGGGTCACAGACAAAAAATTGTCATTCACAGCTCAGCAAGCAGCATGTTCTGTCCACAAAATCCCCGTGAGTCAGGCAGAGGGGCCCATGTGGGTTCCTGGACATGACGTAGGTTATATCAGAGAAGAGGAACACCAAGCTTGGGGATCCTGGACAGTAAGCAAACTCATGCTTTGTCCCAGAGGGAGACATTACCTCAATCTCAAGGTTGTTTAGTACAAACACAACTCTGAAAAACGGACTAGGTAAAGAGCAGTTAGGGCCCTGCATTCTTTAAACCAGCAACATGTGTTGGAATTTGAAAGAACCACGGAAGAGTGTTTCTCAACATATATGAACTAATATAGGAATGTGTCAAGAGTAAAATGTGAAAATTAGAAAAAAAAAGAGGAAATTGTAGGAGCATATTATAGAATAACCTGGGGTTTTGTTTCTTATGAGAGAGACATGTTTAGTCTTGTAAATGCACAGAAAATTTTTACAAGAGTCTACAAGAAACTCCTTTGAAAGTGGGAACAGGGAACCTGAATATAAGAGGGACTTATTCTAAAATACACCATTCCTTTTGCTTCATCATGAGCATATATGTCTTTTCTTAAAATCATAAATATCCACCTGTTTTTTGTCAGTAGATACTCTGGCCATCTCATTATCTCCTAAGGGTCCATGCTTTCCCTCTTCCTTTTCCTAATTAAAAGCAGATTAAGGGAGTGGGGGGAAGGGGGAAGATTAGTATATAAGACACATGATTAATTCAATATTTCCTATTTAAAGATTGGTTTCCTTGGCTTTGGACCATTCTTTTTTTTTTCTTAATGAACCTCTGCATTGACTTCCTGCTTTGTTTAGAATACTACTTAACCTAATAAAAGAGGCCTTTTTATTCTGGCCTCTGCATACTTTTTTAAAACACAAGACTAGAAATTGTGGTCAGGAAATTCTGTAGTTTAAGATTTCAGAGTTAGGGCAGTTTTGAGCCATAGAAAAGTCCAGAGTGTGGCCATGGCTAAGAAAGACTAAAGGGGAACACTGGTAAATTAACTGGACTTGGGAAGAAACGATGGAGCAAAAGCATTAGATATGGATTATGGCAGGCAGAATAACAGTCCCCCAAAGACCTCCCAGCCCCAATCCTTGGAGCCTGTGGCTATGTTATGTTACCATGGCAAGCTTGCAGATGGAATTAAAGCTGCTGATCACCTGACCTTGAGATAGGGAGACTATTCTGGATTATGTGAGTGGGCCTAATGTAATCACGAAGAAGTTTGCAAGCTGGAATGGCAAACTTGGTGAATGTTGACATCTTAGTCTTATGACCTCTAGGAAGTTTACAACAAAAGTCATGTTCTGGGAATGAAGTTTCTATTCAAGCAGAACAGAAAGTAGAAGTGATGATGTTGGTAGTGAAATGTTGAATGGTAGCAGTGTGATGACAATTATAAGTGGTAATAACAACAGTACCTAACATTTACTGAGTGTTTACCATGTACCAAGCCCTAAATTATCTCATTTAACCCTCACAATTTTATGAGGTAGCTACTATTCTTCCTATTTTACAAATGCGAAAATTGTGGCTGAGGTAGATTAAATAACTTGACCATGGTCACACATCTAATAAATGGGTATGCCAGGATCTGAGCCCCAAATCCATTGCCTTAATCATTATGCTACACTGCTTCTGTTCTAGAAAAGTACAGTAAGACCTTTAATAATGAAATTAGGTAGCAGGAAAAAAAAAGAAAATAGGTAGTAGGACAAAATGAGAAGAGTTGAGAGAGAGGGACAATATGTGATGTGTAGAGAAAAATGAGAGAACAATGCAGCTATTCTAATTCCTATACTAAAGTAATACTCAGGCAACTAAGGCTGGTAAATTTAGGCAACTCTAATTTAAACGAAATGAAAAACTATGAACCAATAGGAGAGATAATTATTTTTAAATGACACTCATTTTCAGCAGAGCTTGATTTCTATTCCAAAACTTTTGTGAGTTTTTTCCCCAGAAGTTTCATAAACAATACTTTCTCTCCCATTCATTTATCTAGTTTTAGACAGGATTCTTAAAAATGATAAGTGTTTATACTTGATTTATACCTTGCTGAAAAATCCTCAAGGAGCACCCACACAGTGTGTACATTTGACAACACAGAAAATCGCGGATATCAGTTATACTGTAGTCCCCTCTTATCTTCAGGGGATACATTCCAAGATGCCAGTGGATGCCTGAACCGTGGATAGTACTGAACCCTGTATCTATTGTTTTTTCTTATACAGACATACCTACGATAAAGTTTAATTTATAAATTAGACACAGTAAGAGATTAACAAAAATAATAAAATAGACCAATTTTAACAATATACTATAAGAAAAGTTATGTGAATGTGGCATTATTTAGTAAAATAAGGGTTACCTAAACACAAGCACTGTGATACTGCGACAGTCAATCCGGAAACTGAGGTGGCTACTAAGTGACTAACAGATGGAGAGCATATACAGTGTGGATTCACATCCCAGCCAGGACAGCAGGATGGCACAAGATTTTATTATGCTACTCAAAACGATGTGCAATTTAAAATGTATAAGTTGTTTCTTCCTAGAATTTTCCATTTAATATTTTCAAACCTTGGTTGACTGTAGGTAACTGAAACCGTAGAAAGCAAAACCACAGATAAATGGAGACTACTGTATTTATTTATAAGTGGTTGTTAGCTAATAATACGCTAAGGCAGGTAAAAATTACAGACAATTTAAATGTGCAGTAATAAGGGAAGAGACATGGTACATTGATACAGAGGGATGTTATACAAAATGATAATAAATACAGTACATAGTATGTGCCTGGCACTAAGAGCTTTACAAATATGAAATCATTATTTTTTCATAAAAGCCCCATGTCATATGTACTATAACATTCCATTTTACAGATGAGGAAGTTGACACAGAGAGGTAAAGTAAGTTACCCAAGATTACATAGCTAGTAAAAGGCAGAGCAAGGATTTGAACCCAGGCAGGCTAATTACAAAACCACCGGCTACTCTTAAACCATTAGACTAAGTTACTGCTCCAATGTTTGTAATAGTATTATAGTGTAAGCATTTTCTTATGTTAAGTGGAAAAGGGGAGATGATCTGGAATTAAATAATCTCAAATGAGTAAAGGGAATAGAGAAAAAACACTGAGAAACAACACAAAAAAAATGTCGGTAGTCTCTAGGTAGTAAAATTATGAGGAATTTTTTTTCTTCTGTCTATTTTATAAATAATAAACATATATAACTTTAGTAATACATATTGTATTTTAAAAAGACAAAAGGCTGGTAAAGTGTCAAAAGCAATGTTTCCAATACAATTACATGTCAAATTGCATCTTAGAGTTTCTGTGATTTACTTTGTATAGCAAAAGCAGAATAATAAATTTAAGTGGAATAAACATTACTTTAGCTTGAAGAACATTTTTCTTAATAGGAAAAAAGTCTTACTCAACCCTATGAACATCATGTGCAATTAATACTGGAATTACTTATTTATTTTAACATGCCTATCAAAAATACTTAATTTCTGCAGAGGATGTATTCTTGATATATAGCTATAGCTCTATCTACCTATCTATCTATCCATCTTACAGTATACTAATATATATAAAAGAATTAAAATGAGATCAAATTTTGATATTAAAAAAAGTTTCTTCAAAACTAGTACTCAATCTCTGAAGAAAGGGTTCAGAACAGGCCTTCCCAAGATATGCCACTTTGGCATGTAAACTATTTTAAGCTGAAGGCAATTGAGACCCTGCTGGCTCATGAGAAACTTTTACTTCACCCTTAAAGAATTTAAAATAGGTGCCTTGCCCATAATAAAAGTTATTGCCAAAAATCACTTTTTATGGCCAATCTATAGGGCAGGGCAAACTTCTAATTACTGAACATCTGCTCTTATCATCCTGAGAATGACCTTCCACACCTCTGAAGTCTCAAGGTGCCTTGCCTTATCCTTCGCTGAGAACATCATATGTACCTCATTTTTCCTTTCTATCTCTGAACCTCTCATATATGTGCGGTTCCCATACATATGTACGTAATTAAATTTGGTCACCTTCTCTTGTTAAGCTGCCTCATGTCCATTTGATTATTGGGCCTAGAAGGGCAGAGAAAAGTTTGAAAGAACCTAGAAGGGCAGAGAAAAGTTTCTTTCTCCTTCACACTAACAAGCCCAGCTTTTTAAACGCATTTTTAAAAAGCCTTAAATTTCTAAACGTTTGCTTTTAATTTGTATCTTCAAGACAAATTTTATCTGCAAACAAACAAACTCAAAACATCCAATAGTTTGAAAATCTTCTACTTACACAAAATAATACTAAACTATCAAGAAGTCGAAAGAACGAGGCAATGAAGAGCCTTCTCAAAACTGTTATAATATGTAGAGCCAGGGTGGGGGTTGGGGTAGTGGCTGACAAATAGGGAATAAAAATGCATAACATTTTTAATAATGTCATACTATTTATAAAACATTTTACATAAGAATTGGAAGAGGAAACTATTTCAAGAGATATCATTTTATCATGAAAAGTAAATTCCCTATGTACACAAAGACCGTACATCTTTCACAAAATTAACTGAAAATGGATCACAGATCTGAATGCGAAGTGCAAAACTTCAGAAGATAACATAGAAAAAAAACCTAAGGTATGGCCATGACTTTTTAGATACAACACCAAAGGCATGATCCTTGAAATAAATCAATAATAAACTGGACTTCATTAAAATTAAAAACTGCTCTGCAAAAGACAATATCAAGAGAATGAGAAGGCAGGCCACAGACTGAGAGAAAATATTGCAAAAGACATCAGATGAAAGATTATCCAAAATATACAAAGAACTCTTGAAATTTAAGAATAAAACAAACAACCTGACTAAAATATGGGCCAGAGAACCTTAATGGATACCTCACTGAAAATTAGATAGCAAATAAGCATATGAAAGAATGTACCACATCACATGTTATCAGGGAAATGCAAATGAAAACAACAATAAGATACCTACCTACGTGCCTATTAGAATGACCAAAATCCAGAACACTGACAACACCAAATGCTGGAGAGGATATGAAGAAACAGGAATTCTCATTCTTAGCTGGTGGAATGCAAACTGGTACAGTCACTTTGGAAGACAGTTTGGTGATTTCTTACAAAACTACACATACTTTTAACATACAATCCAGCAATCACACTACTTGGTATTTGCCCAAAGAGTTGAAAACTTAAGTCCACACAAAAACCTGCATCCAGATATTTATAGCAGCTTCATTCATAATTGCCATAACTTGGAAACAACCAAGATGTCCTTTAGTAGATGAATGGATACATAAACTGTGGAACAGTCAGAGAATGGAATCTTATTCAGTGCTAAAAAGAAATGAGCTATAAAGCTATGAAAGGACAAGAAGAAACCTTAAATACATGTTGCTAAATGAAAGAAGTCAGTCTGAAAAGGCTACATACTGTGTGATTCCAACTATATGACATTTGGGGAAAGATAAAACTATGGAGACACTAAAAAAAAAAATAAGGGGCTGGGGGCTGGGGAAGAATGAATAAGTGGAGCACAGAATATTTTTAGACCAATGAAAATACTCTGCATGATACCATAATGATGGATAAAGGTCATACATTTGTCCAAATCCATAGAATGTACAACACCAAGAGTGAACCTTAATGTAAACTATAGACTCTGAGTAATCATGATGTGTCAGTGTTGGCTTATCAGCTGAAACAAATGTACCCCTCTGGGGGAATGCAGATAATAGGGAAGGCTATTCATGTGTGAGGCAGAAGGTATATGAAAAATCCGTGTATTTTTTCCCTTAGTTTTGCTGTGAACCTGAAAGTGCTCTAAAAAAATAAAGTCTTAATTTAAAAAGAGAATTCCCTAAGTCCTTGTTAAAATTTCTCAATGCAATCCCAATACTTACAGGATACAATCTGAACTCTCTTGCAAGGTATAAAAATGTCTTTTACATTCTGATTCCTGTGTACTTACGAAACTCATCTTCGGTATCTTCCCTCCACCCAGCATTACCCTCTGACATGTGGACTACAAATTCCCTCACTTCTACAAGCTTTTCCATATGGAGTTCCTTGGCTTGGCAAATGTAAAGGAAAGACTGTTCTGTGACACGACCACTGTCTGTCCCGAAAGCTGGACCTTGGCAAGAACAGAGGTTGCTTTCAGCAAACCCTCCTTGGAAACTGTCTAATGGTAATTGATGCTCATTCTGACATAAGTCAGCACCCCTCCCCCACCTCCTGCTACGTGTTGGTTCCTGAACAGGTTGTTGTCCTGATCTGGTCACTCATGTCAAGTAGAATCCACGTACTTGTACTTGTGACTGTCTACTTCTTTAGCCTGTATAATTTTCTGGTACCTGCCAAGTGCGTAGGGATCCATTTTGTATTGTAGTCATCCAAAACATGCCTCCTATGTAAGCTTCCCTTAATAAACTCTATTAATTACCAGACTGGAGACCAGCCTCTTTCTTGGGTCTGTCCCTGTTCTCCACTTGCAGAGGTAGATTTTCAGTCTCAGGGCTTTTTCCTGGGTCTGTGAGTACTCACAGCAAATATCTACTCATTTTTCATGTCTCACTGCAAATGCAACCTACCTTGTGAATCTCTCCCTCACTTGACCATTTAAAGCCTGGCCCTCAGTTTTCAGTCTTAGTAGCATCTCTGTTTATATATTGTATTTGACTCCACCATCTAACTGTATCTTAATTGTTTAAATGCCTAGTTTTTGTTCGCATTAGAAAGTAAGGGCTGTGTTTTTTCTTTTTGTATCTCTAGTTCCAAGCACATAACTTTATCCACAGTAAAGAAGACATTAAAAATGAAAAAGAGGATGGTTATGAATGATCTCATAAGAGTATTGTGGGAATTTAAGGGTTTACAAAAAGTCATTCGGTAAAGAAAGAAAATCTGAAGCAACTTTTCAGCAGAATTATTGGTAAGTTGAAAACTTCAATAAACATAGGCAGTATAGAATTAAAACTTTATAAGAGGAAAAAAAACAACCAGCTGTGCTTTAAAAAAGATTAAATGAAAGCACTAAAACATTAAAAGTGATATTGTTAGAATGGTCAGAAGCCATAGGTAATTTCCCCGCCTTTTCTTCTGTTTTCAAAAATGTCTTAAATGCTTAATTTAACCTAATGCTATCTTCTACAATATGACTTTGGCCCCCTAAAAATTAATGACAATACTCCAAACTTTCAAATCTACCAAACCAAAATGTTAAGAACCTAATACTTTGGCACCCCAAGGACAGGAGAAAGAAAAAATGTAGGTTGTACATACTTTTGACACATTGGCTTTTACGATTATTCTTACTATACATTCCTAACCTGCTTTGATCGTATCTTTTGAGATCTAAAAAGGGACTACTTACATGGAACAAGAAACCAAACAGCATTCTAGATTACCAATTACAAGAGTAGATGCTAAGGGTCATACCAGGTAAAGTAAGGCATGGTCTCTATCTTAAGTAATTTACAGTTTGCTGGAAGAAATGCCAACGGTATACAATTGAGTGATAAATTATGTTGTATAGATAATATAGGGAGGAAGCAAGAGAACTAAAATGTTAAATCAAGCTATATGCTGATCAGCCCCACAGCCAGACCACAAGGAAACCTGCAGAACAAAGGAAGATTTCTGCTGGGATTGCTAACAACCCATTTCCCCACACCAGAAAACAAGAAAACTGTAATTCACAGAAACTAAAGAATGATATATAAACTGAATTCTCCAACAGACTGGGGTCCCTCTCACTGTCTTTACTCTGTCTCTCAATGTCTCCATCTCTCTCTCTCATCTTTGTCTCTCTGAGTCTCTCTTAGGCTGTCTCTGCTTCTTAGAGGAGACCACGTTCTGTCTATGGAGTATTACCCCTTCTCTAATAAACTTTCCTTTTGACTCTAACTTTGGCGTGTGTTTGAATTCTTTCTCATGCTCAGCTAGGAAGCCTTTTCTCTCTTAGTGCAGGCTTGAGTTCTCTCCACTCCGGGGAATCTGCCATCCTGCATCACAGACAATAATCTAGTTGGCCAAATTGACACATAAATATCATTACTACCTCATAAACATGACACAATCAGAGGGTAACTACTCTATTTTTAGAGTGGAAAGATGAGCTGTTAGAGCCAGGAGTTACAAATATCACACTAAATCATAATAATATTTTGCAAATTGTAGAGTTTTTGAGCTTGTTTTTAAGTGTGACAGAAACTGGAGCACTAAAATAAAATTTTAGACCATTGCTTTTCTAAGTGGTTAAAATTATCCGAGGAAAAATATACCTGAGATTTTTGTCTTTGGGCTTCTACTGCTGGGAAGAGCTCCATCCACAGACTGAGTAGAGTGAAAAGGTTGACTTTAGAAAGCCTTGGTATTTGACCTATGAAAGAGAGGGCAGACACTTTAAAATATTACTAATGATGAAAATAGGAACTAAGCTCAATGTACCTGGGTGCTGTAGCTTTAGCTCAGCTTCTTTAGCAGGAAGAAGAGAAAAAAGAGAAGCGGACAAGAGAATCAAAACTTTCTTAGCATGAAACTGCTAAGAAACTGCACTTTCCAAAGTTGGGCCCTCTTTCTCCCGCCCACATGAAACAGAAAAAAAAGCGGGGGGGGGGGTACTAGCTATGGGAACAATCCAAAGGCAGCAAAGGAAGTTATGAAAAGTCCTTGCATCTGATATCATGGTGGAGCAAGCTTCTCTTTGGACTGTGGAGATGCAACAAGCGCAGCGGTTAGAACACCATAATAAAAATGCTGTGACCTTTGAGGGTAAAGAAGTTGAAATACAGGAAAGCAGCGTGCGCTTAATTTAGAAATCTAGTCAAAAGCACGGTTTGGGTAGTTTTCAGCTCGTCAATCACCACGATTCCCATTCTAGGTCCAGGAAGGAAAAGTAAAGGGGGGAAGGGCGGGCAGTAAGAGTGACTTCAAAAGCAGGTGCAGCCAGGCCAGGGGGATCCAGGTGACCGAGGCAGGGACGCGCCCTGGAAGGCATGGAGACATCCAGGGGGGCAGAACTGCAAGCAAAGAGGAAAGCAGGGAACCCGGAGTTGAACGGCTGCAGAGGCACAGGGCAGAGCGAAAGGCTGCGGTGGCTGTAGTAGGGTCCGAAGCACTCACCGGTCATGCTGCCAGTCTGTGTGCTGACTGACCGCCCAGCCCCCGCGCGCTCCAGATTTTGCATCTGCCCTGCTCCTTTCATCCCAAACCCAGGGGCCTCTGCTGCACTGAACACCTCTCGCTCTTAGGCATGGTCTTGGCCCCAGATGCTCCACCTCCCGCCTCCTGCGAGAAGGGCAGAGCCAAGGCCAACTCGGCGTAGCCGGATGACGTATGAGCCTGACAGCCACTCCCGGCGCTTTGTGTGACGTCAAAGCGAGGCGTAAACACGTTGGCGCGGGCCTGCCCGCTCGGCCTCAGCACGGTGCGATCGATCATTTGGTATTTGGCTGTCTTCGTTGGTTTTGCCGAAGTAAGGTTGCTTGAAGATGTTTTGTCTCTAAGGTCCAGGTTGCACAGACTCTGACAGGGTGATGAGACTTGCACAGACTTGAGAGTTTGGGTTAGAAAGCGAAGGGGAATTGAATTGGAATCCAAGGTCTTAGAGAATCTCGGAGGCGCAAGGGGGGCAGCTGGGCAGTCCAGGTGGTTATTTCTGTCAGAGATTGGCCAGTACTGGGGAGCTTAGTGCCCGGACCACCACAGGGACAGAATGCTTAAAAACACATAAAGACATTAAGAGATGGAACTGTGATTATGAGAAAGGTGAGGATAGGAAGAGGTAGCAAATGGCCCTTGGAAAATCTGAGAAGTGCCTAACATTGTAGATTTGTGCCAAGTGCGTTTTATTATTTTACAAGTGCCCAGGCACAGCTAAAAATGAAGCCCCTCCTTCCCCAGTTTCCACCACCAACCCATTTTGTTACCACAGCTTGAAATACTGACAAATAACAAGACATAAAAACTGCCTTTTGGAAGCAAAAGCTGGACATTATTAAAGTACATCATTTTGTAAAAGACTGAAGTGAGAATCTTCAGTGTTAAAGGATATGGCTGTGGTTCATTAATTTTCACTACTGTTCACTGTTTCATTGTAGTTCTATGTACAGCAATTTATTTAACCATGTTTGAGATTTTTGAATCTATGTTCATAAATGAGCTTAGTGTATAATTTATCATGGTCTCTTTGTTTAGTTTTGATGGCCTGATTAGGCCACCCTTATAAATGAGTTAGGCAGTGTTTCCTATTTTTCTTTTGTGTAAGATTGGAATTACTTGTTCCTTGAATGTTTATTAAAACTTTCTTGGAAAAGCCTTGTGCTTTCTAAAGTGGAAAGACACTTCACTACTAATTCAATATTTTTTTTGGTTAAGAGGCTACTCAGACAATTTCTTCTTGGTCCATTTTTGGTTATATTTTTCTCAAAATTTGTTCACTTTATGTAAGTTTTAAAATTAATTGGCATAACTTTGTTCAAAATGGTCTCACTCTTAATGTCAAAAACTCTCAACTCTTGCGGGGCTGGGAGAATGGGGTGAAGGGTTAGAGAAGTACAAATTAGTAGTAGATAGATGATCACAGAGATGGGGAGCACGGCATAGGGAATGCAGTTAGCATTAATGTATTGGCTAGGTGGAAAACCAAAGGAGAGAAAGAGCAATCAGGGGGATCGTTTTATAAACTATATAAATGTCTAACCAATGTACTGTATACTTGAAACTAATTTAAAAAAAAAAAAAACAACCCTCTAAACTCAAGAGTAAGAAACAAACCGATCAGGAAATGAGCAAAAGACTTGAATAGTCACTTTGTGAGAGAAGGAATACAGATGACAATAGAGCGTATGAGAAGATATTCACCGCTATTAGCCATTAAGAAATGCAAATTAAAACCATGATAAGATGTCACTGAATACATATTAGAATGGCTAAAATTAAAGGTACTCACAGAATCGAATGCTGGCAAGGATGCAGAGCAGCTGGATCTCTGGATTCTCGTACATTGCTGGTGGAAATATAAAATGGTACAGCCATTCTAGAAAACAGATGGTTTCTTATAAAGTTAAATATAGCGTATCATATCATCCAACAATCACATTCCTCGGTATTTATTTTAGAAGAATGAAAACTTATGCTCACACAAGCTCTACATGAATGTTCATAGAAGCTTTATCTGTAATAGTCAACAATTGGGAACAACCCAAACAACCTTCAATGATTGACTAGAAAACAATCGTAGGACTATCTGTGCAATGAAATACTAATCAGCAGTAAAAAAGAAGGAACTATCAATGAACATCCAGGGCGTTATGCTGAGCTGAAAAAGCCAGGTTAGGTACTATATAATTCTATTTATGTATGTACCATTCCCAAAGTGAAACTATTATAGTAATGGAGAGTAGATCAGTGGCTGCCGAGGACTGTGTTTGGAAGAAGGTGTGACTATTAAGAGGTGACACGAGGGAGTTTCTTTGTGTTGATAGTTACTCATATCTACACATATGAAAAAGTTTCATAGAACTATATGCCTAAAACCAAAAATAGTGCATTAAAAACTAGTAAAAATCCAAAAAATAAAATGAAAATAAAATAAAAACTGATAAAATCCAAATAAGGTCTTTACCTAAATTAATAGTTTTTTTGTACCAATGTCACTTTCCTGGTTTTTCCAATGTACTGTGATTATGTAGATATTATCATCGTGGAAGCTGGGAGAAAGGTACATAAGAACTCTATAATTTTTGCAACTTGCTTTGAGTCTTAATTTCTTTCAAAATAAAAAGATACAGATATGTATATGCTATCTATATCTTATATATATTTAATATATTTGTATATATAATATATGTATATAAAATATTTAATCTCTAGGAGTAAGATCTACCCTTAGAACACCATTAGCTTTATTGCTCACTTAATCTCTCTTTGGATTCCTGTTTTCATTCCATTTTCAGTCCTTTAGAATTTCAGAGTAGTTTAACTACTAAGACTAGTTCCTTAAGTTTCTTGCTAGCTCGGTCATATTTTATATAGCATTTTTAGGTGCTTTGTAGCAGAAATTTTTTTTTTTGGTATTTTATCTACAATATTACTGGAAATAATAGTTCTGCTGCAAAGAAGAATAAGAAGACTAAAGAGGATTTTAAGAAAAAAATGCTACATAAATGCTAAGTAATATATAAGCTCAGTTTAGCTGAGTACCACAAAGGCCAGCTTAATAAAATGATTTATAAAATCAATAAATAATCTTTTTATATCAAGTGGATATTTTTCTCTCCTGGAAAAAGGAAAAGAGATGGCAGAACTAAGTGATGACTCTTAGAGCAAGTCACATAGCAAGCCAGACATCAATGAGGTGGAATGTATTATCAGGGACATGCTAGAAAGGCAAGTACAGCAAATTTTCCAACAATAATGCAGTGTTCATAAATGAGCCTTGCCTGTAACTTCACAGCTTGTCAGTAAAAAGAACTCCCATACTCCCTTCTCCCTGAATCTATAGTATTTAACATATTTGTACTATCTCTTATTATTCTTTCTCTCTCACATTTGCACACCCTCTAACATTCCTTTTCTCATTGGAGAGCAAGTTACATATACTATATTCAACTTCCCCTAAAAACTCCAGTGTGCATTTCTCCAAAACAAGAAAACTCTCTAACCCATCCTAATTCAACCATCCAAAACAGGACACCGCTATCCAATCCATAGACCCTATTCAAATTTTGAAAAGTGAGAAGTGTTTCAACATGTGCCATTTCTATTCTGCTTCAGCATTCCATCCAGAATCAGTAAGATTTGCATCTTGTTAGTTTCCTTGAACCTGGAACATTTCCTGTCTTTCCTTCTGTTTAACAATGTTAACAGGCTTTTTTTCTTTTTCTTTCCTTCTTTCTTTCTTTTCTTTCTTTCTTTCTTTCTTTCTTTCTTTCTTTCTTTCTTTCTTTCTTTCTTTCTTTCTTTCTTTCTTTCTTTCTTTCTTTTTCTTTCTTTCTTTCTTTCTTTCTCTCTCTCTCTCTCTCTCTCTCTCTCTTTCTTTCTTTCTTTCTTTCTTTTTTTTTTTTAGGGTATAGGCCTTTCATTCTGTAAGATTTCTCTCAAGTGGGGGCAATCCGATGTCTCCCCACAACCAGACTCAGGCCATCCATTCTTGGTGGGGGTGCTTCCAAAGTGATACTGCCCTCTTTTTCATGCATCACATCAGGAGGCCACTCGGCCTAAACACACTCCACCCCTGGTGATGCATAATTTTGATCACCTTGCCAGTTAGTGCCTGTCGGGTTCCTACAGTGTGAAGTCATTATTTTTCCCTCTGGAATTGGCAAGTATTTTGTGAGGAGATAGTCCCCAACTATGCCAATATCCTATGCCCATTAAAAGTCCACGCACTGACTTCAGCGTCTGCTGGTGATTCCCACATGAATGAGCCACCATCATGATGGTATCCAGTTATGATTTCCTATTTCCATCATGCCTTCTACCTCTAGTAATTGTCTTTCTACCATCAGGAAGAGCATTTCCCTTGTCTCCATTCATTCATTTGTTCATTGATATCATTGATATGGACTTGTGAATTCTTATTTTATTCAATGCATTGCAATCTGTTATCATTTATTTTAATGCTCAAATTGTCCCATATTTAGCTGATAAAATCCCCTTCAAGTTGTCTCCTTTATCCTTTCGACACATCCCTATCATTCTTTGATACAGGCTCATCTTGTACATTCCCTGCCCTAGACCCAGAATGAACCATTTCCCCAAGGAGCCCTGGTTCCTCTTAATATTTAAAAGCTAAGATCTAGGCAGTACATGTGCTCATTGCTGCTGGTATGTCATTACTACTAGATCCTATGAGAGAACAGATCTAGAAAATATATTTATATATGTGTACCATGCACACACACTCACATAACTGTATCTCTTTCAATAGCTTTCTATCTCTCCAAGAGTTCACACCAGTGTCTTTGGTTCCAGTCTAGCACACCAGGGTTATTTCTACCTTCCTCCTTGCCATTTTGATAAATCTCTTCTCCAACAGCAAGAAACCTGGCTCCCATTGTTCTCAATATAGTTTTTCTTTTTTCCTTTCTTCCCCCACCCCACCTCCCAATTCCCCTGTACACACTAGTTGCCTCTTTAGCTTCCCAGCCCCTGTGCTGCTGCCTCCACAGTCCTTTTTGTCTCGAAGGGAAGGGATAGGAAAGGAGATAAGGTGGCCACAGGACTGAAAGAGACTAATGGTGGCCAGTGCACCCTTGTGGGGACGACTGGCCCTAATTTGGTCATTTCACGGAAAGTTATAACCACCCTAATCCAGAAATTAAGTTT